TTAACCAAAGTTTATATTTCTATGTTATTTTAACATCCAGGTTTCTCTCCCACGAAGTCCCTTAAGGCTCATCCATGGGTGTTTTTCAGTGATGTAATTTTAAAATACTGTATGCCAAAACACGGGAAAATAGACTGATAAGTAAAAAACTTCGGTAAGCTAGAGGCTTGTTTGTTTGTTTGTAATTAAGCACAAAGCTACACAATGGGTTATCTGTGCTCTGCCCACCACGGGTATCAAAACCAGGATTCTAGCGTTGTAAGTCCGCAAAAATACCGCTGTCCACTGGAGGGGGCATGTTAGAGGCTAAGCAAGTCTTAAACAGAAGGAAGACAAAATGAGGGAAATACCAAACCTTGGAAAGATAAGCTGGGAAAGGATTATAACAAATGAAGCAGATTGAAAGAGTTTTAAACAAAAGGAAGATTGTTTAACGAAGTGTTAATTATAATAAGTAACCAAACTGGAATAATTTTAAAACCCTCCCAACATCTCACCACGAATAACATACGCTGTCATAGAATGTAAGCTATATTTCAAATGATGTTGTTCTTGATATTTGTTTTGTATATGACTGAAGGTAAGTACACTTGACATTTGGATTTCTTACTCCACTAAAAAAAGTGTTAAATAATAGGGAAAAACTAATTATTAAACTCTGGGAAGATATAATGAGAAGTAAAAATATTCAATAAGATAAACTAAACAATTTTTAAATAGTTGGAATAACAAAGTGAAAAAATATAAAACTTTGGGAAGGTAAACTGATGAAGTACGATAAGCAGATTAAATAACTTTTAAACAAAGAAAATACAATCTAAAGAAATGTTTAGTTATAAGAAAGTGGTTTGAAAAGCCACAGTAAAATATAGAGGAGAAACATTTAACTATGGAAAAAACACTGTGGATATATTAAAAGATGGAAAGATAAAATGAGCATATATTAAGACACAGGAAAATAGACTGAGAAAGTATTATTAACTACAAAACACATACATCATATTGTTCTACTTATTGTTTAATCTAAATAAACTGAAAGATAAATTTGATATTCAAATTATGAGCTAATCGTACAGCATAACTGCTTGCGATAGGCTTAAGGCATGATTGCTCCAACAGTTGCAATGTAGCACCTCAACGAAGTCATCAAGGTGAAACATCAAGCATAAAATCATTTCTGAAGTTTAGTGTAGTTTCTTGCTTTTCGATATTATGTGTTAACTCTGAAATATAATGAAATACAGAATATCTAAATATTTTAAAAAAAAATTTGAAACAGACCTCGAGGTCCTGTCTTCCGAATACTTCTTCAAGTAAATTTTTTAATTTAAAATAAATACTCGTAAACTGTTTAGAATATTTTCGTTTAAGAGCAAACGTTACAAAACTAAAAAAAATATGTTGTTTAAAAACAAAAACTGGAATTTTGTGTTATATAATCAAGATAGAGTCCGTAGAATATTAAAGCAAATCGACTTATTTTTCCTTTTTGAAAATGGCATTTTCTTTGTCATTTGTCAAACTACTTCATTAAACGTCTCAGAAGAGGAATGTTATACAAGTAGTGCTGCCCTCTAGTTAAATATTTTTATCAGATACCTATCGTTATTATCAATAGTATTTTTTATATTTTAGAATCTTTCCGATCTTTTCTATACTTCGAAACATTGTATACTAACTACGACTAACATTCGATGTAATAGTTATAGAATGTAAGCTCTATTTGTACCTTATATTTGTTTTTTATGTGTTTTATACGTGATTAAAATTTGGATATCTTAGTCCACAATAGCAATGTATTGTATGAAAACATAGGAAACCGATTTCTTCATCTCGTCTCTGTCTACGCGACTCTGAAAAATTCCTTTCATTATAAGAACTGTACAAGTTCCACAGTATTTATGCTTGTAAAAACGTTAAGGAAGACATAGATTAATTTATTATCGTTTACGTGGACTGGACCTTAAATTATTTTCATACTAATGGTATGAAACTCTGAAGGTTTCGTTTTGAAATGAAATAAAATATCATTGCTTTAATTTTTTTACCAGAAAGTCTATTTTTAAATATTCAGTAGGAAAGTTTTTATAAACATATTTCTATGTTGTAACTTGTTGTAGGCCTTCGTTTATTAATAACACTACCTGCGCTACATAAAGTAAAGAATAAATTTATTTGTATAACTCCGTTGCTGAAACAAAAACATACTGACTGATTTACTCTACCTTTCCACTTAACTAACTTTATTTATGCTTTGCTGTTCCCGTATTTATAATCTACTTTCTAATGTACTAGAAAACTTGACCTCAAAGCTGTAGAGCTTTCTAGTTCCTAATTTAACGTCATCATTGTGACCTAAATTTCCCTATATCTAAAATCTAAACTACAACATTAAAATTTAGCCTACAAAAATATAAAGTACAGAGCAATCCTGCTCATTAAATACATATATGTACTCAGCATTTCTACAATTATCAAATTAATTTCATTTTATATCACATATATTGATGACCAGCTTATAAAACGATTTACATAAATTTTTCAATCAAACTTCTCATCCACAGTTAGAATAATGTAGGATTTGGAGTTTAAATAGAATATAAACAAAAGTATTTTGTGAAAAAGGTTGTTGAAATAAGTAGTTGATGTTACGCTAAGAAAGCACGTAGGGAAAGTTTTAATAAAAAGAGAACTAATATTGATAAAACAATTTAGATTGTCTTAGCAACAGTTTAATGGAAATAATTCTTTCGAAGATCCATATAAACCATATGTAAACAATAGGTATGCATACGTGCAGTCTACATCTTTAAGAAAGCTTGAAAAGCTCCTGTGAGAGAACCTACTGTGGGTATTACAAGTCCTTTAAAATAGAAGGCAGTCGTATAAATTTATTTTTATAATCATCAGAATTATGTCTTTTGGTGAAAGAAATTCTGAAATCCGATTTATTCTTTGGTTAGCCACGTGTCACTAACCTAAACTAGATTCGAGGAATTCCACACCTCATGTGTTAACCCTACACAAGAACAAACCAAATGGGAAATAAGACAAAGCATATTGCAATATTGAACTAAATTTCATGTTTACAATGCTTTTAATGTCTTTTATTCGACTTTAAGTAGATTAATTTAGGAATCACTCAATTATCGCCATGAAACCACAATTAAACACACCATAAACCCCCTGCCAGTTCTAATTATTGCGAAAATCATTCATATTCATTTGTACGATTAGCTTTCCAAAACAAGAACAAAACGAGTTTTATCACTTTCCACATAAACACTCCCAACATTTACTCAGGTAGATGGCACACCTTAAAACAACTTTGTATGTTCAAATTAGCAAGTCGCGTGATATCCACAAGCGATATAAACTCGTGGTGGAATGGATTGTATGTGTTACAGTGTTGCCACCGAAAAATAATGGCAATGGAATATAACAGCATTTTCAATGCAAAATATTCATACACTCAGATCATAAAGATGTGCTGAGACTGAGTATTTATAATTGCTCAGAAGGGTATATCCTTTGTATTTGATATTATTGGAAAACAAAGGAATAGAGATCAACTTGGACCCCCAAGAACCATCCAGAAAGAAACCTGCAACAAGTCGTACCCCAACAGTGGTAAAAATAAATGTGGCATCTTACAAATGATGAAAATCCATGAATATAGAGTGAAGTGGTAAAAACCCTCATTGTGTCTCAGGCAACATCGCGCAACATAATCAAGACGGATTTCCGTATAGAAAAGTCACGTACACACACGTTATTTCCATGATATTTCCGCTCAACTATAGTATATTTCAAGCAGTTGTAGAAACAAACGGGTATTAATGATATTCTACACTATATCAAACCTGTCATGTTATTCGATATAGCGCCTATGGATTTCTGAAAAACCATCGTACTCGTAAATTAGATTACACAGGACTGTGAATTTAAACTTCTTAACAAATGTTTTCTACATGTTCTACAGTAATTCTTATACGCAGATTTCGACAATAATACTAATTTTTTCCTATCGCGTAAAGATTTTTTACAAATTTGGAAGAAAAAATAACTGTTACTTAGATCAAATTATTATTTCGTTTACCAAATTGAACATTTTTTTTATTATGTTTGTTAACAAAAATACAAACAAACTGGAGAAAAGGTAAGAACGTTGATGTCAAACGAATATACATCCTCATTCATCCTGTTTGTGTGTGTGTGTGTGTGTGTGTGTGTGAATCTGCGTCTTTTAGTCTCAAACTACGTGTTGTGGTCTTTCTTTTATGTATTGCGTTATGACGTTTTGTGAAAAATCTGTACGTGATGGAGAAAAATGGATATCATTTTCGGATTCAGCGTACAGGAATTACTGCAGAACATGTAAAAATGTCAAGACAATAAAACCATCGCAGACCTGTGATATCATTTAGATGGTTACAGAGTACTAATGCACGTGGAATCACTTAAAAATATTTACTATTTCTAAAATATTGACTTGGTAAGTTGTGAATGTTAAAAAATAATACTTCAACTAAACTTTTCGAAGTATCTTTTTATCCTCCAATTTATAATACATAAATGGTATTCGTGAACTGATTCAGTTGAAGAAGTATTTACTGATATTTTCCATTACAGCTAATATGGTTATGATAAGTTGTTTTTGTTTGTTTGTAGTTAAACACAGAGCTACACAATGGGTTGTCTGTGCTGTGCCCACCACGGGTATCGAAACCCGGTTTATAACGTTATAAGTTCTTAGCTTTTCCGATGTGCTCCTGGGGGAGGGGGGGTATGATAGATTGTACATATCAAAGTTAGAATAACTATATAATTTAAGGGTGTATGTTTTGTGATATACTGGTTTATGTTCATTTTGACATTTCAGTATTTGTACTTAATTTATAGTGAGTAAACTTAACTGAAATATTATTCAAAAAAGTGATTTTAGGCAGAAAGTAATCATTTTGTTTTAATGAAAAATTGTGAATTTGCATTTTAAGTTTAGACTTCTTGATTTGTACAGTGAAAGCCCGTCCATATTGACTTTGAGTAAAATACTATAATTTACTTACTTGTGTTTAAATTGACAGTGGCCACTGTTTAACTTATGCAGACCGTCTTAAGATGGCAATGTAATTAGTTCTACATGTAATCACTGAATAGTTATGTTGAATAGGATGACTCACAATACCACTTCTTGGGAAATAAGAGAATGTAAAAAATAGTGTTTCCGCTTTTAACAATGAGAATGTTTTTTTTTCATTGTTCATTCGAAATGTAAGCATACTTTGTTGTTCTTTATTAATTCTACTTTAAGAAACGCTAGGTATACGTCACCGTTTTTTGGCTAGATTATATAAACAAGACTAAATGTTTCAACAAGGTTGTGCATCACTGACAATCCGACGCATAGAGAACCAGTTAAATTCAAATTAAGTAGTCTCTGTTTTATTAGTTTGTTCCTTCATAAAGAACTCGGTTTCTAACAGAAATATATCATATAATCTCCTCACAGAATAACGTAACTGTAACTGAAATGGTGTTTGGATAAAGGTCGAGACAACGCGCAGACTTAAAACAGAATTGCTTTCAATTTGCGTTGAGCAGTTAGTGTGTGCGTCATGTTGCTCGAATCCCTGTGAATTCCCTTCTTGTACATATGTTACTCCTTTTTCACTCGAGCTTTGTTTAAATATAGTTTCTGCTACATAACGTTTACCAGGGTCTCCTTCTCCTGGGAACCAAGTTCCAGTTAAAATATTAAACATCTCCAAAAAGTTCTTTCATCAGATCAGTATGGGGCTGTGAAATCATGAGAGAGAGTGTAATGTTGGATGAAAAATACAGGTATTTTTCTAATCGATATATATATATATATGTACGTGTGTGTAAATGTGGATATATATATATATATGTGTAGGTATGTAAGTAATTGATATATATATATATCACAAAGTTACTTAAAAAACATGTTGAAATACTTTTCTCGTTTCGTTAATGGTTTAAAGATTTTTTTAAAGCTCAAGTTTTCTAAATAAGAGAGGAATTTGTATACACAGGTATTTTTTTATTCTGTCTCCAGCCGTTACAGAAGAACTGAAGCTAAGCAGAACCTTTAATACAAATTAGTTACTATATCTGTCGCTTGGTGTTAAAAAATAATTGATAAGGTATTTAAAGAATATCGCTAAACATTATTTATTGTTCATGGACTCATATTTTGATTATTAACATTCTTGCAATTATCATTCATCAAAGTATTTGTTTAAATGTAGCGTATAACTTTGTTTAATTAAGACCTAACTCTGGATACACTTTCTATACAGTAACAATTCTTTGTCTGAAAGTGGAGTTAAGTATTTTGGCATTTTGCCCTTCTGAATTCTTCACGTGTGTTGAAACAACCTAACACTGAGTGTCTGCATTAAAGCAGGGTTAAAAAAACTATATATGCGAGTTATATCTAAAGCCACTTTTTAAAACTCATACTCGCGGCATATATTACTAACAAATGTTCCAGTTTTGTGAAAGATTACCTAACAGTTTAAAACCGTACCACGAAATTTAAGTTCCCGGCTTTATATTCTAGAAGGAGATTCTTAAAAGAATTCTTCTTTCAAACCCTTTAAGGAAAAGGTCTGTCTTGATTTTCTGTTAGACAAAAACCTTCAAAGATATTAACATGCATGCTGTAAGCCAAATTGTGATATATTTTTCTGTGACACTTTATTTCTGGGTACTGAATACTCCCAGCCAAGATGTGTTGACATAAAATCAGAATTATCATTCACTTTTCTATTAAACATAAAATCGTAACTAAGTATCTTATAGATTTCCAAGTTTCGGCACAATATTTCCCAATAATGTTTTTCACTGGTGAAGAGTTAGGAGCCTGTATTGTCAACCAGTCAGAAAATGAAACTGAAAATATTGTATACAGAATCTAATTTCACCTCCCAACTTCATTTGTGAACACATAAGCAAATCGGGATTTACAATAATTTTCGTCACTAAATCGTGTGGCAGGAGTCGTACATATATATATATATATAATACGAAATGGCCAAGACTAATTTTACTTTACTCCACAGTTTATTATTTTCACGTGCACCGTCAACAAGTCTACTACATTATCAGTTTATAGCAGTCGGCCATATTTCCAATTAAACACAACAAGATATACATGTAAGAAACTCTCTTCTTTATCCACTGTCTACCTTGACCATAACACTCGTCTAATCAAAAATCAGTCTTAACAATAAACACACTGATGATTACTACTTCAAAATAACCAACTGCTTAATCTATACATATATATAAAGACGAAATCTGTGTTCGTTTGCACCCTAACTTCTCTCAGCCTATTTATTCAATCTCAAACAGTTTTGGCAGGTTGAATATTCTAAAGGGATTCACGGTCAAAGTATGACAATTGCTGGATTGTTACTCAAACAACCATGCTTTTCTCATGGTCAATGAGATGTAGGGTGTTCAAAGGTGGGATCATATCAAAATCTTTATTTGTTGGTAAATGGAAAGAAAAACTACAAAATTGTTTATGAAGAAGCTTTGTTATAATTTAAAATTTTTTATTACTTTGAAATATATGATTGCTGTTAAATTTACATTGTTTTAATTAAGTTTAAACATTCCCCGTCAATTGATGTGTATTTCAGCTTGTATACTACAAGGTGGCTGTGAACAAAGTGACCGTTGGCCTAAATTGAGCAGTGTTGTGACACTGGAGATTTCCCTCGTTATTTGCTGAAGCTAAATATTGACATTCTGGTCTAGAAGTGCTGAATTTTATAGTGTAGTAATACGTTCTTGTGAACTGTGTATCATCTTGGCTAAAAGATGTTTTGTTGATCTAGAATTAATGTCTGTAAACCATGTAAGTACAAATGGCTATAAGAAAAATACATTAATAGCAACATGTTTCACATGTTTATGACCATGTTACACTTGAATGTAGCTGACATATTCAAATTAGTTTCATCAGGTTTATTATATCAATATTATGACCGACTTTGTATAGTACATATATTCACTGTACTTTGTGATTGGCTGCATTCCTACTTTTGATTCCGATAACTATTTTATATTGAATTAAGATATTACCTCATGGCTTAAAGTATAACGAATTGTTGACATTAATTAGCAGAAGGATTTCGTTCTAATTTATATGTAGTATGATTATTGTTTAAGTTGGTTAGCTGACAGTCCACTCGTTGCAGTAACTGTCTAATAACATACATGTATATACTTTCAAGGTTTAATAACGTTCATGAAATTTCAAAGCTTTTTGGGTAATTATGTGATAAAACACAGGATAGTGTGTTACACAGCTTCTTATTGGAAGTTACAGAATGAAACTAATGTAACATGATATAACGAAAATCCATTGTGATTTTTGCAGCTTTTTTGAGACTTGTATGATTCAAAGGCTCATAGGGAAAGAAATAAAATAAAACTGTTACGACAGTTTGTGTTTTCATCATACCATAAAATGGTGTGGGGTGGGGAAGTCATCTCTTCCAAGAAAATCAAATCACACCTCTTCCTTAAAGGGTGTTGAACAAAATCCATCTTACTCCTTGTAGAATATGATATTCAAGCACTGAGGAAGCCAAGGTTGATATTAAAAACCTAATGCTTTCGAAATATGGAAACTCACAGGGTGGAAGGGGGGGAGGAAGGGGCAGAAGAAAATGTGTCCGCCTGTTGAAAACGCTGAGGCTGCATTATTCTTTTTTTTTCTTTCTAAATGTTCCAAATTTTCGGTGGTTGAGGTAGCGAAAAACTGCACAATGGAGAACTCGGCCTTCCAGCAGCCCACATCTGAGATGTAGTATTTAAAAATTTTTAAATTCTCTACATTGTAGTTCCTACTGACATGAAAATGTTAATATTTCTGCCCCCAAACTAACTCTTTGCCACCTTATACCCCCAAATAAAAAAAACATATAAATGTCATTGTTTACTATGCATAAGTCATTTTTCGTGCTTGATAAAACAAAAGTGTCTGTCCATTTCATTACCTATTGAGCCCTTGTAAGCTTTTATAAAGTTTCACTGCTCTTTGCTCTGCGATTTTTACACGCCTAAAGTATGAGCACAAAGAAAGAATTGTCTGTTTAAAATGTTAACAAAATGGACAACGATCTTTTAACCTATATTGGTTATATAAACTTAGCACGTGTTAGTGATTACTGATAATACACGTTGTGAATGTTTTAACGAAGGTTTTGCTAAGGTATCACTTTGATTAAAATTGATTAAATGCTATAATTATACACGATTGTATAATTTTTTAATTCTTAACAATGTATCTTGTAAGTCATTAAATAAATTGATAATATATAAATATATCTTTGAATAATTCACATATTTGTAGTGTTTTTTTTCTTTCTGAAAGTTTTGTTCGACGTTTCAGTCGCTGATGAGATCGTTGTCAGGATACACAACGTTTATGCTGAAATGTGTCGTAGCTTTTTCAGTTTTAAATAATGATGTATGAAAAGCTAGTTGCTCCATACATTTCTAACCGCTTATAAAGGCAGTGTTTTAGTTGTGTGTGCGTATCAGAAGTTTGGTTAGATTGCAAGTAATCTGAAAAAATAGTAATTAGTACACACAGAATTAACGCCTTGGTGTTTGTTAACAGTAAATTCGTTAGATTTAATTAGTAAGGCTTCTCTAGTTGTTTTATTAACGCCTGGTTAATGTTTTAGGACGGTGATGTTTTTTACGTAAACATTTGATAATTGTTTTTTTTTTCTTCTTCTGTGTTTATGCACTTAAGAGAGGTTTATGGTGTGTGTGTGTTTTTTTTATCCATGTGTCTAGCTTGCGTCCTCTTTCACCTATGTAAAAATGTCGAGCAGGTTATAATGTATTTGTAAATGCGCACTTAAGAGAGGTTTATGGTGTGTTTTTTTTATCCGTGTGTCTAGCTTGCGTCCTCTTTCACCTATGTAAAAATGTCGAGCAGGTTATAATGTATTTTGTAAATGCGCACTTAAGAGAGGTTTATGGTGTGTTTTTTTATCTGTGTGTCTAGCTTGCGTCCTCTTTCACCTATGTAAAAATGTTGGGCAGATTGTAATGTATCTTGTAAATGTTTCCTGGAAGGCTGTGTTCATTGTACAATTTTCTTAGCATGTGTTTGATTCTTTTTTTTTCTGGAGTGAGCAGGAATCGGTTTGTTATGTCGCGTTGATTTCTGTAAGGAGTATGCTAAAATTTTGCACAGAAGGAATGGGTTTTATAATTAGATTTGGTGGGCATGTGTGTACGTTTTGTGGATTTATCTGTCTGTAAATATTGCCTTGTCTGTGTTCTTTAATTCATTTGCGATTTATATTACTGTTTTGGACAGTAGCTGGTCATTGTTAGTAAAACATTGGATTATGTGTGTGATTTCTTCATCAATGGTATTGTGGTACATATACAGATGTTAGACATGCGCGTGTTTCGTATACAGTTCTGTTATTGGGCTCATTGTGTGTCTCATATAACATTTTTAGCCGCATTGTTTAAAAGATAAAATGTTCGAAAAAGGATAGAGAATACAACTAGCACGTGACAAAAATATCAAAGACAGCAATAAAATAGAAAATTAAAACAGCAAAGTCAAATATAACAGTAAAGATAACAATCAGCTGAACAGATTTTCAAAATCGCAAGGTAAAAACTAATTAGAGAATTAAATTATTCATATATATGTACATGTGCACGTGTGGACTGTAATTGACTTTCTTTTCAATGATCAGCTTTTAACAAATTTATGAGCGTTTTTAACAATGTATCTGATGTACCATTGTATATACCATAGCTTACACATTATTACTAGATGAATATTTGATGAAAGTATAACTTATACCCAATGATGTAGTTAGTTTTATCAAGAATGCATTTTTACGCGTTTCAACTTTTTTCCCAAACAAACAACTAATTTAACAATAATAATTAAATATACTGAAGTTGTTTTGTTTTGTCTGCGTCACATCACATTTCATAATAGAAAAAAATAAATTAATAAAAAGGCTTAACGTCAAACATCAATAACATTAATTATTATTTGTGAGTTAATTACCCAGTGCAGTATATATATATATAGTTATGTAGGTACTAATAAATCGTGAAATCAAAGTCGATAGAAGCCACTAGTAAGATTCTAGTGTGCTTTTCTTTTTTATTTATTGACGACACTATTTTAAATAAGGCGGAGAGTATAAAGTCAGTTTTCGAATTTTTACATACATCAGTTTAGTGCCTAATTTGTTCTTTCGTGAAAATTATTAAAAAGTCTGGAAGATGTTTCCCCAACAGAGAAGTAGCAAGGACCAATGACATCAAACAGTTTACTGATGTATAATATTATTCATATAAAAATTGTCGATGAGTACACGAGAATTATTAGTTTACTAAAAGTTTAAATGAATAAATGTTTTTGTTATAAAGTTATGTAATTACTAACCGTTTGAATATGTAGATATTTCTTTTTGTGATTAATTTGAAAACAAAGCTGCTTTTTTTTCAATATTTTCACACTTATCTGTTTCTTTAGTACGTTTTGTGAAACAAATTATATTATCGCATGTGTTTTGTTTATTGCTTATACTTCGTATAAAGACGTAATTTGGGTATCTTTCAGGTTGTGTCGCTGTCCCCCCGTCTGAGGCTCGTTAGGTCGTGTCGATATGAGCTCCGCTGAGTCGGAGGAACAGTCAGATGAGGAGCAGCCCATATTCCGTCCCTTCACGAGGGAGTCCTTGGCGGCCATTGAGGCTCGTATCGCAGAAGAGGCCGCCAGGAAGAAGGAGCTAGCTCAGAGAGCGGAGGAGGGGGCGACAGGTGGAGGCTTGGGGGACACCGAATTGTACATTCCCACCCATGCGGAGGAGATCCTCAAGCCTGACCCCATATTAGAGGCTGCCATGCCCCTGCCTAAGACACTGCATTCAGAGTTGCCTCCGGAATTGATTGCCACTCCTATTGAGGACATAGATCCTTTCTACAAAAACAAAATGGTAAGTTATGTGTCTTTTCATTCATAATGTTGCAATTATATATCTTGTTATCTTTTTGGTATTATTTTAGGTCCCTAGTTTCTCTATTGAATGGGAGGTGTCCTAGTGGCCTTTGTTTTAAGCCAGTCGTGTCAGTTACGTTACGCCTTTAATAATTTAAGCATTTGAATATATTTTGTTCTAGAACCACGCATGTAGTAATACAAGTCATTAGAGAGAAAAAAAATAAATTATTAAATGAGGTACTGCATTATCATAGTGATTTATATAATGCATTGTAAAATAAAACAATAGGCTATAAATTAACTAAGACTTTCCTATTAGTCAATGTTCTAGTGGTATTTTGTCACTAAAGCATTTCCTAGTTCTATATTCATTCTCGTTAATATATTACATTGGATTGTTTGGGAAAAAACATTATGTTACTATTCGATGGGAAACTCATCCTTGTATTACAGTAAAAAATATATGTTGAAAGAATATAAAAGAAGTCCGTCCCCTTTTTTTGCATGACAATTGTTGAACAGATGTAAGAGAAACGAATATCCATTGATAAAAAATAAGTAGGTCATTAAAACTCGTCTGTTGTTGTTGTTGTTTTTAACCAGCTTGTTATGAAGACAATAAAAAAGTATTTTTTTATCCTATCGGAATAATAAGAAATATGTGATATCATATAAAATTTTCGGTTCATTAAACTTGCATAACCAGCCTAGCTTTTAGTAAATTTTAGGTACCAAATTGTTGCCCCAAACAATTTTATTTGCTCTAGACGTAACTTTCTGGTAGACTATTTGAGAAGATCAAACAGAGGAGAACAATTATACTTGTTAATTATTTTGTATATAATTTTACATCCCCTATTTAATATTAAACAACGTCAAATGTAAGAAAATTAAGATTTAAAGTAGAGCGAAATACTCAAGTATTTTCTGCATAATTACAAATTACGACACAATTTGTTATGTAATTTAAAACATGCTACTTAAATCGTGCTTATAAACCCAAACTTTTTTATCCGATTTCTATGCTGAAATCAGACGAATTTTTTGAAATAGAGCCACATGATCAGTTTGTTCGCGCAAAGCTACTCAAGGGCTATCTGCACTAGCTGCCCCTAATTTTGGAGCTAACACTACCCCCCCCCCCCACCGTTAATTATTGGGCTACTCTTTACCAACAAATAGTGAGAGTAACTGTCACATTAAAATACCCCCACGGTTAAAAGGGTAAGCATATTCGGTGATGGAATTCGAACCCACGATCCGCAGGTTGTTAGTCGAATGCCCTAACCACTAGGCCATTCCCACGAATTCAGAACCATTATCCGTGTGATGTTAATTGACGAGTAGCAAGAACTGTTTCATTTTCTAGCGGCTTCTCGTCACGTGTATTTGTTTCTAAGGCCTGTCGAAATGAATGCTTGTTTGTTTGTAATGTGATAACCCTGGATCAGATGTAAAGCGTTCGTTCGTTTGTTTTGAATTTCGCGCAAAGTTACATGATGACTATCTGGGCTAGCCGTCCCTAATTTAGCAGTGTAAGACTCGAGGTAAGGCAGCTAGTCATCACCACCCACCGCCAACTCTTGGGCTACTCTTTTACCAACGAATAGTGGGATTGAAAAGTCTGAAAGGGCGAACCCGCAGATTGCGAGTTGAGCGCCCTAACCACCTGGCCATGCCAGCCCCGAGATGAATGCATGCAAATTGCAGTTTGGCCTGTATCTGTACAAATCTGACGGGTTTTTATGCAGATCCCGAAAAAATCCAACTAGGTTAGATAGAATACTTTCATCAATAGAGAATTTAATAGCATATAATTATAACTGTTTTGGATTATATTACTTTTATGACTCAAACATTAGTCGAGTAATTTTATGAAATATAATTATAATTGTTGAGGAGAGTATTACTGTTTATGACTCATATATTTGTCTATTAAATGCTCTCTAGTGGCACAGCGACACGTCTGTGGAATTACAACGCTAGAAACCAGGTTTCGATACCCATGGTGGGTAGAGCACAGACGGTCCATTATATAGCTTTGTGTTTAACTTCAAACAGAGGCCCGGCATGGCCAGGTGGTTAGTGCGCTCGACTCGCAATCTGCGGGTCGCGAGTTCGAATCCCCGTCACCCCAAACATGCTCGCCCTTTCAGCCGTGGGAGCGTTATAATGTGACGGTCAATCCCACTATTCGTTGGTAAACGAGTAGCCCAAGAGTTGGCGGTGGGTGGTGATGACTAGCTGCCTTCCCTCTAGTCTTACACTGCTAAATTAGGGACGGCTAGCGCAGATAGCCCTCGTGTAGCTTTGCGCGAAATTCAAAAACAAAACAGAACAAACAAACTTCCACTTTATTAATTTTCTTATAACTTATATAGTGTACTCTATGACCTGATGATAATTTTCGAAAACTTAAGCAAACTGAAATTACGTGGTTTTAGCTGAGAATTCTTGATATTTGATTTGTATGAACATTTTCATCATTAAGTTTTAATATTGCTGTCTCAGATAAGCCAAGAACACGAACAGTTTAGTTGTTGTTAAGCGCAAAGTTACACATCAGTGAATTGTCTGTGCTCTGCTAACTACGGGTATCGAAACCCGATTTTAAACAGTAAATAACTGGGGGGGGGGGCAACACAACCAGATTGTTTAAATCGTGAGTTTCGGGTTCGCATTTAATAAATTCTTACCAACGCACATTCTTCTGGAAACAAACTTCTGATATCAAGAGACAACCCTTTAATACCAAACAGCACTTATAACACCACGAAGTGTTAACCACACTTTATAAGAACGATTTGCATATGCTGTACTTGTCACGCAGGTGCAAGCTGTAGTACCACGGACGACATTATTTAGAATCTAAATATATTTGTATTACGGCAAATTCTTGGAAATGCAATGTCGGCTGGATGATTATATTTCATGTCTTTCCGAGGAAAGATATTTGATATAGCAAAGAGATGTAATGCCAGAGGAACACCCACCAGCCTCAAAAGGTAATATCTATAGCTTAGTGAATAACAATGACAACGTAAGATAAGTACAGTCATACGTGGATGTTAAATCTATACATGCAGGGTTGTTAGTACCATTTCACAGACTAGTCGCCCAGGAAAACCTTTGGTAACAAGATACTCATGTCTCGACGGTACACGAGATAATGCACAAAGCTCTTGACCTTGTAAATAGGTATAAACTACGAGTGCACGAGTTGAAAGACAAACCGCAGAAAACTGTACAAAAAATAATTTGTACATGAAGATATAAATTTGTGGCAACATTGGAAAAGGCTTGGGTATAATTGACCGAATGCGGCAAGAAACGGGATATTTGAGGAGGAGATATGTATTTGGTGTGTGTGTGTGTGTTTGTTGCATTTTGCGCAAAGCTACATGAGGGATGTCTGCACTAGCCGTCCCTAATTTAGGAGTGTAAGACTAGAGGGAGGGCAGCTGGTCATCACCACCCACCGCCAACTCTTGGGTTACTCTTTTAATAACGAATAGTGGGATTGATTGTAACTTTATAACGTCCCCACTGCTGAAAGAGAGAGCATGTTTGGTGTGACGGGGATTTGAACCCGCGACCCGCAAATTGCGAGTCGAGCGCCTTAACCACCTGGCCATGTCGGGCCTGAAGTGATAGACGAGAGGGAAGGTTGCTCTTGTCGCATCGGATAGTGGGATTTGATCCCCACTCTTATAACGCACCTACAGCCTCAAAGTACAGAACGCAGTTATAATGTGTGGGATCCTCCCCCAGTGAGTCAGCGGTAAGTCAACGGACTTACAGCAAACAAAAGAGAGTAGATAGCTCAGAATGTAGCTTTGCACTAACAAAACAACAATAACAATAAACACGGGACTTCAATTCCTCAGTCCGGCACGCTAACCATAGGGTCACGCTCTGCTCTTACAACATAGTACCGAGTTTTTTGTCTGGCTTTATAGTTGCTTATATAATGGAAAATTTAAACTTCAAAAAATACACAGTGAAGCAAACGTAAGCTCTATTTGCTCCCTAGAGAAAGTATTGACACAAATTATGCGAGATGAAAATCCTGTAGTGCATGGTCAGAACACCAAGAAGGTAATCTTACAGGATAAAGCATCAGGTCACACGTCTAATTCTGCAATGGCGCTTCTGCGAATCATAGTGAATGAAACTGGTGTTCATGCCATCCTCTTCTCTGACATACCTGTAATGTTATCTGACTGCTCATCTATCGGCTTTTCGTTTGCTTGAATGTTGTCTTAGAATCTTAGAAGCCGACATCCGCATACAGTGGAGTGTTTGTGGGAAGATTGACAAGATGTTGGTCTAAGATTGACTTTGTCGTCTATCGCAGAAGCTTGTGGCAATAAAAATTGCGCTATCAGGAAATAATACATAACCATGGCGATCAAACTAATTATAATAGACATTGGAATAATAAGTAGTTCCGAGGGTAACATGGGATATGAAGCATAATTCTTATAAGTTGACATTGACCCTTTATTGTTGACTTTCTAGCACAAAGCTACACAATGGGCTGTCTGCGCTCTATCCACCATGAGGAATAGAGTCTCGGAGTTTACAACTGAAAATTAGGAAATATATCGTTGACCCAACGGGGCACTTAACCCTTCATGTTATACAGAGTTAAACCAGTCATAGGGAATTAATAAAAGTATAAAAACTTTATTATTTTATCATTGTAATTTTGTTCAAGTTATGTGTTTGAAACGCAATTTTTAGCTGTTTTGTTTTTCTTCCTTACTTTAATAAGGAGTTGATGTTAACTTATGAAATTAAAATGTTTTTAGGGGGAATTTGTATCTGTTTTATATCGGTTTAATTGGAAATTACTTTTTTTTTAAGATTGCGTTGAACGAGCTAAGTGTGATTTGAAGGTTGTAGACGTTTAAAGCACATATGAGTTTATGTATTATAAATGTTTGAAATATTGAACTTTACAGTAAAAAGATGACATTCGTCTTTTGATTG